TGGAGAGCTATACGTAAGTTATTAATTATTATTAATTATTATTATTATTAATAATAATAATTGTCACAGTCAGATATTTGACTGGTAGATGATGTTCTGCAGTTTGAGACCTAGCTAAGTTCTTGAGAACTGCAGATGTATCTTTGCAGGTTATTTGTTGTTGCAAGCTGAGCGGGTGTTATTTGCTCAATGTCCAGTTGTTTCTTGAGACCTCTAGGCACTGCTCCAAGGGCTCCAATGACAACTGGCACAATGGTAATCTTCTTCTCCCAGAGGTGCTCTAACTCTATTCATAGGTCTTGGTATTTTGTGATGATGATTTCATCTTTCTCCCTAACTGGGAGCTAAAGCAGCTTACATCATCCTCTCCCCTCAATTTCTCCTCACTGCAACCCTGTGAGGTAGGCTAGGCTGAGAGTGAGTGACTGGCCCAAGATCACCCAGCAGGCTTCCATGGCAGGATGGATTTGATCCCCCAGATCCTAGTCTGACACTCTCGCCACAAAATCTGCACTGATGGTCAATTAGCATATGCAAACATAGTACTCTTTTGTTCCCCTTTTCAATGGCTCTTCTGTTTCTGGGTCATCCATAGAAGACGCTGCACTTCCCGGATCACCTCAGGATAGTTCAGTGCCTCAGGCAGAAATTCCAAAATGACTCCTTTCCCTAGGGACGTCAGTCTCCAGGTGGGAGCTGGGGATCCCCTGGAATTACAGCTCCTTTCCAGACTACAAAGGTCAGTTCCCCTGGAGAAAATGGATGCCTTGGAGGGTGGCATTGCACCTCATTGAGCTCCCTTCCCAGGCTCCATCCCCAAATCTCCAGGAATTTACCAACCTGGAGCTGGTAAGCCAGAGGGGCCCTGGCAAGCCTACTTTTTCTTCTTACGGTTTATTGTTTTAATTGTTTTTATTCTGATCTGTAATCTGACCTTTTATAATAATGTTGTTCACCGCTAGGGTTGCCAAGTGGATCGGAGCTCCGCGGCGAGGGGACTCCCTGCTGGCGTCCCTAGCGTGCGCGCACCGCATGCACGTCAGCCGGAAGTGACGTGCAACGCTGGGCATGCTGGGGGCGGGGCCACAGCCATCTGAGGGAAAACCATAGAGTTTTCCCTGAGATGACCGTGGCCCTGCCCCCAGCGTGCCCGGCGTGCTCACGTCACTGCCGGGTGATGAGCACGTTGGGGTGGGGTTCCCCCCGGGGCCCGATCTAGCGGACGCGGGGAATGGGCCTCTGGGACGGGGGTTTGCCCGCCCCCCGGGGAGACTTGGAAACCCTATTCACCACGCTGAGCCCTATATGGGGGAGGGCAGTCTAGAAATCAAATAAATAAATAATAAAAATGTACTTATTTAAGACCTTCTCACTCACTCCTGCCTCATACTTGTTAGTTTCCAAAAATAAAATAAAATATAAAAGTAGCAAAAAAAAAAAAAAAAAAAAAGACAGCAAGCTAAAATAGTCAGGCAATTTGCCTCCCACAGATTCAGCCTTCAGAAATACAAAACCTTCAGTTACATTTAACTTATTGATTGACATGACGCAAGGTGCAGCAAAAGGCATAGGAGCTCAGTCTATTTCCATGGGGCTTGTTCAGAAGGTTCCCCTTTCCCTTGGCCACATGGCCCTAAAATCCATCTGGCTTCCTGGAGCTGCCAGTTTTTTTAAAAAAACAAGCCAGTAAGAGAACTCAGCAAACCTTTAAAGGATGCCTGCATCCCTGATGGGGGTGGGTGGGTGGAGAACAGCCTGAAGGGATCCTGTGACATTAAAAACCATTCTGTACAACTCCACAAAAAGCCCATTTTCACAAAATCCCTGGAAGGCTTTGCCAGGGCTGAAGAGCTGCAGTTTTCTAGACACAACAAGATTAAGGGAGAGGTCAGAAGGGGACAGGGACTCCTTTTCCAAAGATTTTCCTTGTCTGGCAAGGGGGTGGGGGTGGGAAATGCCTGGGGATTAGTAGCCGTCTCACACCTTCCATTGATCCTTCTGTTATTCCCCAGTCCTGAATAGCAAGAAGTGAAATATATGGGGGCGGGGGGGGGGGGAATGTAATTTCTAACTAGTGTTGGGAAGGGGGGGAAAGCGGTTAGGTGTTGGGCGTGGTGGCTTGGAGAGAAATTGCCTGGGGGGGGGGGAAATCACAAATAGAAAAACAGCCACCGGTTTACTATTCATTTCATACAAACTCCTGTTCCTTGGCTTTTTGTGCCTTCAACACTGTCACAGAAGTAAGGAACCTAACACTTGACTTGCCATTTGAAGAAGGACCTCTGCTTTCACTTTAAAAAAAATAAACAGTAAGCTTCTAATCCTCAGGGCTGGATATGTCATCTGACTGATGAGGAGGAGAACTCTTAGCTGGTCTGGGGTGGGGGGCTTGGCTCTGAGAACTGGTACAAAGGGTGGGCCAGTGCTGTGCAGATAGTTCTGCAGACCGCACCTGCATCTCTCTCTCTCACTTTAGAACAGGCCATAAAGCCCCAATGGAAAAAGGTTTTTATTGCCACTCACCTGTAACCTGGACCAAAAATGCAGATTATACTTGCCCCAGAAATATGGTTGCCAGCCTCCAGAAGGTGGCTGGAGATCTCCTGGGATTACAACTGATCTCCAGGCAACAGAGATCAATTCACTGGAGAAAATGGCTGCTTTGGAAGGGGGACTCTATGGCATTATTTATACCCTCCCCTAACTCTGCCCTCCTCGGGCTCCACTCCCCCAAATCTCCGGGCATTTCCCAACTCGGAGCTGGCAACCCTCCCCAGAGATGAGTGGCCGTGACCAGCTAACCACCTCCACTCTCCAGCCGTAGTATTTGATGCTCATACTTCGGAGCGATCATTCTCACAGGGCACAATTCCCCCACCCCTGCTGGCAGGTTGCTACTTATGTGGCGCAGGGTGGATAGGAAAACATTCTATGTGATGGCTCTGAATTTTGAGGCAAGAGGTACTAAACCGATAGGGATCAGGGTGGTAGGAAAGGGCCCATAGGGGCTCCAGGCCTCATGTCGCTCACAGACAAGTGAAACCCATCAGGCAGCTAGATCTCATTAATCCCTCTCCGTAGGCAGAGTTGGTTCCACTCTACTGGCAGCTGCTCCAGCCCCTAAAATACCCTCCAAGCATGGTACTTATACCCAACCAGCCCTTCTTTCTTCAGAAAGATGTCACAACATTTTCCATTCAGCACCACACTGGACCAGCTGTCATCCCTCCCTGGAAGCCCAAAGGTCACTCTGACCCTATTCTACCGATCTGAAGAAAGTCAGAGTGCCTGCGAAATTGAGCTGGCTTTTGAAAACAAACACTAGTGTCCCGATGTTCGAGATAAAGGAAATCTGTTGTGACCTCAGGCAATTGTTGGGGGGGAAGAGCAGCAGCAAAATATTCAGAAACTACCCAGTCTATTGCACATACGCACACCTACTAATTCCTTTTTCATAGGAAAAAAAATTTCCCAAAATCTCCCTGTTAAGAGCATCTCAGCAACCTGACTAGCCCAAGCTTGGAAGCTAACCAGCGTTGGCCACGGATAGTACTCGGATGGGAAACCACCCAGGAAGAGCAGAGTTGCTATGCAGAGGACGGCATAAGCAAACCACCTCTGCTCACCTTTTGCCTTCAGGACCCCAGGGCCCTAGGGCAGTGGCGGCGAACCTATGGCACGGGGGCCAGAGGCGGCACTCAGAGCCCTCTCTGTGGGCACGTGTGCCATCGCCCCAGCCAGGCCCAGACCATCATTAAAGTGTCGAATTCTCTGCCAAATAATTTTAAGTAAATGAAAGCATTTGGGATTGCTTTTCTTACTTTGTTTGGATCATCTTAAGTTAACATATGAGTTGTTTTTTCTTAAGTAAAACCTCAGTATTCAGGTTAAATTGCCGTGTTGGCACTTTGCAATAAATAAGTGGGTTTTGGGTCGCAATTTGGGCACTCGGTCTCTAAAAGGTTCGCCATCACTGGTGTAGGGGTTAGAACGCCCAATTAGTACCAGCTTTGTTTGGATGATCTTAAGTTAACGTATGAGTTTGTTTTTTCTAAAGTAAAACTTCAGTCTTCAGGTTAAATTGCCGTGTTGGCACTTTGCGATCATTAAGTAGGTTTTGGGTCGCAGTTTGGGCACGCGGTGTCTAAAAGGTTCGCCATCACTGCCCTAGGGTCTCCAGGGGCCAGTTGCAGCTTGACAGCACTCCGGCTGTTATTATTTAAGAGCCTCTCAAAGGAGTGTCTTTGGTTCGCTTTTTCTTTGTAGGGCTCCCACCTCACCTGAAGGTTACTAGGAAATGTGGTCTGAGGCAAAATCACTTCCTTGACTCAGGTATATGTGACCCATCAGATAATGCAAACCTGAGAAAGCCCAATCCTTCTTTGGCCTACCTTCTCCTGGATACAGGAACACACAAAATGCTCTTTTGCCAATGCAGCTCAGAGGTGTGATCGAGAAACCTGCGAGGTAGGTTAGTCTAAGTGGCGCAAGCAAGCTTCCTGGTAGAACAGGGAAGCTCATCCGACACACTTTAGCCACTACACCAAAGGTGACCTCCCAGTTTATGCAGCACCCAGCCGGCACTTCACAGAGTAAGCATGTCAAGTGTAAATGTGAAATGGGTTTTTCTAAATACTGTGGGACATGAGCTGGTGGACACTGATCGTTCATAGATCCATGGCACGCGCCCACTGCGTGAACACACAATACCTAACACCAGGATTCCACATTACATGTGATGCAGCTCCAACCAGGGTCTTAAAATTTCCCTCCCTCAAGCTGAACACCCTAACCAATGCAGTTACACAACTAACTATAGCATAGCAAGCCACACGCAGCTCGTCCTCTGGTCAGACAGCAACACCATGGAAGGTTGGTTAAGAGTTCTGTGTAACCCCAAAGCCTGCAGAGTCTGAGGTGAACAGCTATCTGCTAGCTTGTTCTTTTTTACTTCCAACACAACATCTGCACAGAGTAAGTGTGCACAGAACATCACTTACCCTCGTTTGCATTTCTTGTACACTTTGTAGATGCTCTCTTCAGGCAAGCCATATTTTTCTGAAATCTGAAATGGAAAAATGTTCTTTAAAACGCTTCCTGAGTTATTTGTATAAAAGCCCATTTTTCTTTAAAACGCTTCCTGAGTTATTTGTACAAAAGCCCTTTTATTCAATCACTTGTGCCCGGACTAGGGATGTTAAAATACAGGATTACTATGAATGACAATTTCTCATGGGGATTCTTCTCTACACAAAGGCATAAAGTCAAGACCAGTATTAGGTGGGAGATATCAGGCTCCTCTCCACCTGGGGTTGGGTTATTTATTTATTTATAAATTAAACTTTTAGACCGCCCTCCCCTGTGCACACAAGGCTCAGGGCGGTGAACAGCAGTAAAACACGTTAATAAATTAGTGAAACCGTTTAAAACAACGAACTAATACACAAAACATTTCCGGATGGCACTAAAAACTTCAGATTGTGCCATTGCCTTGTGGGGAGAGTCAGGAAATGGGGGTGCCAGGCGAGATGGTACCCGTCACTGTCCTCAACCAAAAGCCTGGCAGAACATCTCTGCCTTACAAACCCTGCAGAACTGCATTAGGTCCTGCAGGGCACAGATGTCATTCAGCAGAAAGGTCCACAGGGCTGGCCCTAGCTCTGGTTGAGGACAGCTGAATGTCCTCTGGGCTGCCAGTAGGTCCTTCTCTGCAGAATGTAATGTTCTTTTGGGGGGGGTATACCAGGAGAGGCACTCCCAGAGATATGTGGGTCCCAGACCATTTAGGGCCATAAAGGTTAATACCAGGTAAATTTCCACTGGCCACAAGGTTAATTTCCACTGGCCACAAGGTTAATTTCCACTGGCCACAAGGTCCAGAAGCACGACAGCTAAACACACTCTATGCATATCCCTGTTGGTAACAACCTGAGCACGCACATACAGTTCTGTGAATGAATTCAGTCAAGGGAACTTAGCCCTAGCAGTTTACACACTGATCCAGAACTCTGTTTATGCACTGGGGTGGTGGCAGCACTGCACAGCAGTGCCCCACCAGTCCTGGCTGGCCCCTTGTTGTAGCTTGATGCAGGCCAGGAGATGATGCAAGGCAAGATTCTCAACTCAAGGTCTCATTCTTCAGTCTTTCTTACAGCCCCTGCTGGTCTTCCTCCTCATTCTCTGTTTTTCACATCTCAGTCTTACAGGGGTCTAGTTGGTCTAGCAACAAACTACAGTCACCCTAATCGGACAAATGTCTAAATATCAACAATGAAACACAACACACATCCACTGTCTTGTAGCACCAATGACTGTTTGTTTTAATCCTGTGTTTTAATTCTGTGTTTCCTTGGGTGGCAGGAGAAAGGTGGGATACACACATTCCTTAAATAAAGTAAATAGGGACAACGTGGACTGTATTGTCACCTCAATGTGTATGGCAGGCACTTCACAATCCTTATTTAGTTTAACCACAACCCTGTAAAGTAGGTCACTACTATTATCTCCATTTTACATGATTGGAACAGAGGTACAGGGAGAAAGAGCCAACTCACGGGCCAGAACCAACATGCTTCTGGCACTTGGAAGTCCCCAGTTCAAATCTCATTCCATCTATGAACCGTGCTTTAAGGAAGCCACTCAGTATCACTCTCCCTCTCTGCAGGACGGGGATCATATACAGTTGCTAGCTGCGGGTTGGGAAATTCCTGGAGATTTTTTTTTGGGGGGGGGGCTTGGGGAGGGGAAGGAGCCCAACAGAGTCAATGCCACAAAGCCCACCTTCCAAGGCAGCCGTCTCCTCCAGGGCAACTGATCTCTGTCATCTGGAAATCAGTTGTAATTTTGGGAGAACTCCAGGCCCCACCTGGAGGTTGGCAATCCTAGGATCATGACACCGATCTACTCTACAGGATTGCTGTGAACATTCAAAAGTGCTATGCAGCTAGGAATTGTCATAGGCAGGAAGGATTAACCCCGGATCTCCTGTCCCAACTCCAAATCTTTAGTGATAGAATATTATTGTTATTATAAACATTATTATAGACGGATTATATTTTTGAACATTTCCTATACATTGTAAAAAAAAAAAGAAATTAATTTTAACTGGTCACATGGAGGGCTAGACTACGTTTCAGCTGTCAGATTCTAGGTTCCTAGAATCTATGGGGTCAGCAGAAGCCTCACTGCTGTTTTTTCCAAAGAACACCACTGCTTTCAAAAAAGGGTGGAGGAAAAGCCATTCTATAAACTGACATTTCGATCCTGGCTGGGGCTGCCAACTCCAAGTTCGGAAATTCCTGGAGATTTGGGGGTGGTGCCTGGGAAATTCAGGGCATGGGAAGGGGAGGGACCTCAGCAGAGCATAATGCCATAGAGTCCACCCTCCAAAGCAGCCTTTTTCCCCAGGGGAACTGATCTTGGTTGTCAGGAGATGAGCTGAAGTTCTGGGAGATCTCCAGGCTGCACCTGGAGGCTGATCACCCCATCCTGGCCCTTTTTTCTGTTCTGTTTTAAAAGTGTGCAAAATCAGCACACAAACTCTCTCCCTGCTCCTCCCACCCAAGCACAGCAGTAAAAGACAGAAAGGTTATCAGATAATTTTGGAGAATTGTTTGCTTTATTTCCCCACCTCTGCCAAGATGGAGCTGTGGGTTATCAGGAATTTGGGCGATAGGAATCTCAGATATATCTTGTGTGCTCTTCAAACACTGAGAAGGGGGTGTGTGTTCCAGCCAGCCCAAGGGAAAGAAGGAGAGGTGTGGCCAGAAGGAGAGAATGATCAGGAACATTTCCCCCAGTTATACAGGAGGCTGAAGGCTGAAGTTGGTTCCTTATTCGTAGTTCATATTCCTTATTCGTGACTTATTTGTGAAATCATCCAGAAAAACTGAGGAGAGTTGTAAAGCTCTGAAAGCCAACATAAGGTCTGGAACACCACATATCATATACCCCCAAGGTCAAGGGACTCTCCCCTTCAAGAAGATATATCCTGTTTCCTGGTCCAAAGCAGGGTTCTTGTGCCAGATGCTCCAAAGTGTGGTGCCCCCAGGACAATCACACAAGCAGACACTGGGGCAAGGCTGCAACACCCCAAAATCGTTGGACCACCCCAAATGACACATCGCTATACTCTGGGGACTGTCCCCTGCAAGGAGACATATGGCACTGCCCGGTCCAAACACTGGTTCTGGCCCCACACCCTTCTATTTGGAGTGCCTCCATGATGACACTGTTTCTAGGGAGATTTGAACAAAGAACTGCTTGCCCTTGCAACCCAAAATAAGGTTTCGACCACCACACTTCATACACCCTCATGATCAGCAGCCTCTCCCCTTTGAGGGGACTTATTCTGTGTCTGGGTCCAAAGTGTGGTTCTTGTGCCAGCTGCTCCAAAGTGCAGTGCCCCCAGGACAATCACGCAGGCAGACACTGGGGCCAGGCTCCACCCACAAAACAATCTGTGGACCACCCCAAATGACACATGGTCATGCTCTGGAGACTGTGCCCTACAAGGAAACAGGCCTGGCCCCAGTGTCTGCCTGTGTGATTGTCCTGGGGGCACTGCACTTTGGAGCAGCTGGCACAAGAACCACACTGTGGACCAGGACACAGCATATGTCCCCTCGAAAGAGACAGTCCGCTGAACATGGTGGTGTATGAAGTGTGGGGGTCCAAATCTCATTTTGGGTGCAGAGGGCACTTCCCTATTCAAATCTTTGAAATACAGGCCTCTGGGAGGCACTCTGAATAGAAGCTTGTGGCATCAGAGCCAGTGTTTTGGATCGGGCATCACTGTATGTTATCTTTAATATAAAGTCATCATTGGCTTGGTCGAAGTGCACTCGAATGCATCTGATGAGGTGAGTTCTGACTCATTAATGTGGATGCTGGGGGGAAAACGTGTTCATACATAAGATGCTGCTGGACTCCTGGTTTATTTTGCAGCTAGAGAGTAACACAGCTACACAGTCTAGAATTCTTAGTCAAGACCTTTATGTAAAACTGTATTTTTCAGATATCCTCAAAGTACTACTTTGAGCATACCTTGTAATTCCTTTAACTCTTACTAAGATCTTCTTCTAAAAAGAGACAATTGGGGAACAGGACCAAAATGCACCCATAAAACAGCAGGTGATGATGATGATGATAGATTGGTGCAAGAATTGTAGTATGTACAAGGACATGCATATTCAGTGTTTAGCCCAATCGGGACGTCTGTTGTATACCAAATCAAAAAGAGAGAAGTAACATTCAACTGTTCAGGGCTCTTTTTGTAGAAAAAGCCCAGCAGGAACTCATTAGCATAATAGGCCACACCCAACAGCAGGAACACATTAGCATATTAGGCCACACCCCTGACAGCACAGCTCATTAGCACATTAGGACGCACCCCCATGTTACCAGAAGTGTGGTTATCCAGCCACACCCACCTATTGCTTCTTATTCTCTTTA